ACCAGTAGACCACTTGAGCAGTGTCAAGCCAAAACTATCTGGCAGCATCCAGTGGAACTAAGTTTGCTGAGGACCATGAGATCAAGGTCAGCAGAAGTACAGTGCCAGACTATAGGGTATTCCCTCAATTTACTCACAGGCGGGAGGGAGTACTTCCCTAGGTCCAAGGTACTTTGTGAGTCCACGTTCCTAAAACTATAGCTCATGAGCCCCCACTGTCACATTTATCTAATTGGAATCAGAGAGAAGACAATTAACCCAAAGCAAAGACATCTACTAAACTAGCATGGTAAGAAAAGTTATTAACAAAACATCTCTCCCATTAACCTGGGGTGAATAAGTATACCCAGCATCAGTCAGGACAGCAGAAACAAATAGAGGTCACAAACAGATACGTAAAAATATAGCCAGCGAAGGTCCAAGGAGGGGCAACCAATGCCTCTTATGTTTCATGGCTGCAGGTGCAAATTAGTATTATTTCTCTAAAACAGATATCAGGCCAGGTGTGGAGGCACATGACTGTCATCTCTGCTACTGGGGAGATCAAGGCTGATGGATTGCTCAAGCTAAGGAATTCTTAGTTATAGTGAGCTCCCAAGGGTGGGAAGAGGGGCACTAGGCTGCCCTCAGAGGGATAAACCTACTCAGTTCGGAAATGGGTCAGGTCAAAGCTTACGGGCTAATAAGTAACGAGATTAGGCCTATGTGTAGCTGTTGCACTTCCAGTCTGGGAAAGACAGGAAGACTAAAGAAGAAAAGAAGAAGGAAAGAAGAGTTGAAAGAAATGAACAACAATGAAAGGAGAAAGAGAACAAGAAAGAGAAAGGAAAAAGAGGAAAAGAGGTATCAGTTGGCTGCCCTATGGCTCCATTCACTATCCTTATGACTTCCCAGATGAAAGCATCCTTCCCTAGACATTACATAGTCTTTCTTTCCAGTAAAATATAAGCTCCTTGAGGACAGAAATTATTCCTCTTTTGTGTAGGTATTACTAACTGTTAGCTTATTCATTCATAGAAAAAGATAGTCTGGAAATAACAATAAAAAAGAATGAGGGGGTGATTTGCCACTGATATAATGTCAAATGGCTGGAAGTATCAAGTAGCGTTCTATTTGTCTCTGTTCTTTTGGGTAGTAGACAACATATCACATCAGGAAATCCCAAAACCCAAACAAAATTATTAGACAGTTTTAAGTGCATATAAATTTCCAGTGAGGAAAAATATGAATTAAACCTTTAATACCTTTAAACAACACTTGACCCCAAAGGGGGTGTTTTGTTTCACAAAAATATCGACAACCGAAAAAAACTGCCCTTGTCTAAAGATAGCAATTATGCCTCTTCTGATAAATCTAGAAGCTGGATTTCTCATTACAGGGTCATATCGGTATATTCAACAGGAGCACTCAGAAATAAATCAGTTCCATATACACATTTCATGGCTCTACTTATAAGCTGGTTTGTAATAAGGTTTATGAGATGGGAGAATGTATCATGTTGGCAAACCAGTTAGAAGTAAGGAAACTATCCCTTTGTATCATGTACGACACCTCATTTACTCAGTATTACTAGAACCACTATTTAAACTATCTTTTTTGATGGAAATTTTTCTGAAATAGATTATACACCAGTTCTTTTTAGCACTAAATGTCCCTGGGCAGTTTCATTCATTTTATCTGTTGCCACTAGAATCTCTTCCTTTTAGGAAATCCCACCTTTCCTCCTCCATTATCTCACAATTTCTAATCAGCTGTACAGTGTAATCTAGGAAGAACTAAAGTTTACCAAAGGGAACCAGAGAACTAAACTTATTAAATAAATAATCTTAATTTTCTATACAATCAAAAATTAATAGGCTCTGACCCAAGAGTGGGCCTATTCCTCTCCTGCAAGTTAATGTTTATAGATGAGAAAACAAGAACAATTTTCCTGGCCTGTTCAGAGACCCTTTTTCAATTCCACAAACATTTATTATCTACTACGTGCAAAGTATTATGCTAGGCACTTGGGATAGGGACTAGACCTGTGATTTCATTGGGAAAGGGAACTCCTGGGTATGAAAATTCCCTCTACCAATTCAGGCTGACACCTTCTCTGAAACTTATAGTATTAGAGAGTTGCCTAGAATAGAGGTATGAAACTCAAATAGTAATGGGAGCCACTAATCTGGATCCCTGCAGGCCACATGCTGGTTTAGTTTTAAAATGTAATATTATCTGTGCTTTATTGTATTCTTACTTATTTTGTTAAACACTTCCCAATTACATTTTAATTTGGTTTGGAAGCACTCAAGAGTGTTCCTGTGCTATTGGTTGTCACATGTATAGAGAAAAGTAAATAAAAAGTAATTTGAGGAAGGGATAACTAGGGAAGAAGGTGGGAAAGGTAAGCATCAGTAAAGGCTTTTGAGAAGAAGTGACAAGAGAGCTAAGCCTTAAAGAAAAGTAAGGAGTCTAAGAAGTGAAGAAGATAAGGAAGGAGTGCATTTTGGGCACAGAGGCTGGCTTGTTTGAATGTAGTGGGGAAATGGTATAATGATTTCAGGAGCATCTAGCAGGCCTGTCTGGCTGGAAAGTAGGATTTATGAAAGGGAGTAATGTGAGATAAGTCTAGAAAGAAAAGTTACCTCATCAGTACCCTCTGATTGGAAGGAGGAGCCCTGACCTCCAAAACTTCCATTTAAGGAGGGAGGCGAAGGCCAGCCATCTCTTCATTTCCTGTACCCCTACCCCACCCACTCCCATGTATTTGTATACCCAGTCCTCAGCACAGTGCCTGGCACATAGTAGGAACTTAATAAATGTTTAGTGAATTGAAAAAACATAATCAAATACATGGGAAAGATCAAGAAAAACTCCATAAGAGGTCTGAGATAGGAGGGGAACCTTTAATTAGAGGAATTAGGGAAGACCTAATAAAGGAAATGGTTCCTGAGGTCCCTGAAGGAAAGGAAGAATTTCAAGGGTAGGGATTTGGAGAGAGTCTACTCCTCCAAGGGAGGAATTTGCTGGGTGCAGAGATCTAGGAGAGGGCAATAAGAGATGGGGGGATAAGAAGGCCTATTTACCTGAAGCATGAAGCTCATGAAAGAGAGTTGTACAAAATGAAGGTAGGTGGGAACTGGACTGCAGAGGACTGTGAACAACAGAACAATCAATTTCTCAGTCCCAACTTAAAGTTAAAAAGCCATTAAAACATCTCTCCTCACCATGGCCCACCCCATGCTGCTAGCAGCAGCAACAGCAGTAACTCCTTACTATAAAGCTTAATTCAATGTTTATAACAAACTTGTATGAAATATCCACACTGTCACTTGTTTTCTCATCTATAAAATGGGGATAATTATCATAGCACCTATCATGAAGGATCAAATGAAATACCATGTTTACAGCATTTTGCAAACTTCATAGTGCTATAGAAATGAAGGCTGTTGTTGCTATTACAGCATGCAGAGAGAACTCTGCTATGAGCCTGTGGAGATAAAAAGTTTAGATAAAACATGATCCCTGACTCCATGGAGCTTACAGTGATGTTGGTAAGTTAGCTGTCTACTAAGTTGGAGGGGACATGTGTGTATGTGTGTATGCACGTATGTGGGCTCATACACATACATGCAGAGGAATGAGGAACAGTCTAGGTCTGTAACTCAAATGCACACTGGAAGTGCTGTCTCTTATGGTGCCCTACGTTGTCAATCAGCATGCTGCCTATGACATCTTTCCCTTTTATGCTTTGGTGAAAATCCCTGGCTCTTTAAGACTTCCTTGGTACAGAGGAGCATATAGCCCCTCTATTTTCCTCAGGCTTACTATGGCTTCCCAGTCCTGTTCCAAGTGTAGAGGAATCTATGATTGTTTGCACAGCTTAAAGCCTTATCCCTATCTGGACTAAGAGCCACCCATAATATTAGTCTATACCTCCACATGACCCAGTTCAAGCAGGTAACAACATATATCGAATAAACCACAAACTTCCATTGTTGGGAATTTCAAAAGAAATGTTTAACATTTTGGAGCTCACAACTCAAATGGGGAGATAGAACATACATAAGAGAAAAACAAATACTCATAAAGAAAAATATAAAGAGAAGCCTCTAGGAAGAAAAATGATCCTCCCCATCTAGATGATTTTTCAAGGCTACCAATCCAAAGTTTGACTTGAAATTATTGATCTGATTTCACCTACCCCCCACCATCATGTAAAATAAATGAACAAAGTAAAGGATGTGTATAGAAAAAAATATATGTTCATATATTTATATGTTCTCTTTATAGTTCATCAGTGGTTAAGCAAAAATATATTATGCCTTTCCCCATTAGCCACTTGAATGGATGGTATATACATGAGATGATTTCTTGATTTAAGCCCAACTAGGAAACAAAATAGGATCAAATAAAAATACACACTAACTTCCACTCATAATGTATGACTGGCTTTTAATAATTATTAATGAAAGCTATATAGATTACTAACAAAATAGTGGTTTCCCTATCCTAAATTGTGAATGAAAAATCACTTCCAAATAGAACAGGTTTCTAAAATCATTACATGACAAAGAAATTTATTGTTTTTGTGGTTGTTGAGTCATTTTAGATGTGTCTGACTCTTCATGACCTCACTGGGGTTTTCTTGACAAACTGACTCTGCCGATTCCTTCTTCAGTTCATTTTACAGATGAGGAAATGGAGGCAAACAGGGTTAAGTGACTTGCCCTGGGTCACACAGCTAGTGAGTATCTGAGGCTACATTTGAACACAGGAAGATGAGTCTTCCTGACTCCTGATCCGGTATTCTGTCCACAGTGCTACCAGCTGCCCCAGAGAAATTTACATAAATTTAACATTTTTAAAAATTAAGGCTACTTAAACACTACTCACTTGGGCAAGTTCATCATTGAACAGAAACGAGAGGGAAAGATTATAAACAAAATCTATAATTTGCTTTAAAGGAGGGTAACTATTTTTATAGCAAATAAAACATAACAGTTTTGATAGCTTACCTGAAGATTTTTCATATTTGGAAATGGGATCCCTATTGTTATGACAGCACGGGCATTTTCATCTGAGAAATCCAAACCTTCACTCACTTTACCTCGGCAAACTGCCACAAGGAGGGCACCATCTTAAAGCAAAAGAGAATAATTATTTAAAAGAAATACATGTAGGATTTTCCCATTCCTGTAACTTCTAAAACCAGTTCTCTTCAGAATTAGAGTAGTAAAAAATTTTTAAAGTAAAATAATAGGCTATTATAACAATGTACTGCAGAGTTTTAAAGTATTTAAAGTATTCTGTCTTTAAACTTGCATAACAGCTCTACCTGGACCTATTTAACAAGTTATCAACTTTGGGGTGGGGTGGGGGGGTGGAGAAGGAAAATGGACAAAAGTAAAGAGTGTGACTCCATGACTATTTTCTTGAAAAATCTAACCAGTGCAAAAGAGTTACCCTCAGAAAGGACAAAAGAGCACAGTAACCACCTCAGCCAACAAACAGTCACCCTATTTGCCAAGTGGAGAGCTACAGCAGCCAAAGACAACACTGGCTTAGAGTGGAAGATGATCTATCAAATTTATGAAGCTAGAACATTTATGAAGCAGTACCACCTAACTACTCTCCTTGGATGGATTTGTGGACTCACTGACCTATGTACTGTCTACAGTGGAATGGACAACAAATCAACACCAGAGGGAGTTCTCCTGATTGGCTGAAGGTCTTCAGTGAGATTTTCTGGTATTCCAATGGGTGTCTTCCCGTGGGGACTCATTCCTCTTTGCGTTCCACTCCTGACTCTCTGGACTGTCTCTATCTTGCCACAGTAGCCTCCTGTCCCTCAACTTCTCTCCCTGGATTGTGCCCCTTCCTTTGAAGGGGCAGTTTCTCCTAGAACCTCCATTTTAAGGAAGGCATCTAGGCCAGTTATGTCTTCAGTCCTCCCTGAGATCCACTCCTGAGTCTTTGACTCCCTCTACTGTATATACAAACATTTTCTCCCACTCTTCCCTCTGTCTTTTCCAGATTCCTCTTATGTTTTGTCTTCCCCATTATCTTCCCCGAAGATAAGGACTGTTTTTCTTTCTGCTTCTATTTGTCTTCCCAGTACTTAGCACAGCACCTGGCACATGGTAAGGACATAATAAATGCTCACTGATTTAATAAATGTTTGTTATTGTTGACTACCGGCGGAGTATTTAGACATGTTATTCTCTACTTTTACATTACAACCAACCTACCTCTTTTTCCATCTGTACAACTCCCAGATATCTTTTACATATTTTTTTTTTGGTATAGAATTCCCTGTTAAAATGCTGCAGACTACTCACACCCAACATAAACCTCCACTGTCCTTTAAATGACCTGCTGCTTTACTTCTTCTAAAGAATTTCATGATTCACAGCCACACAACCATACCAGGTTACCAGGAGATGACTGATATTTGTTAAATGGGCCTTTATTTCAGCCTGGGGTCAATGAATGCACTTCACCATTCCTCCAATACAATAAAGCATGTTCTCATATGTAAATGTAAGGAAAAACTTCCTGACAAAATTATCCAAAATGGAATGGGCTAGTTTGGGAAGTTACAGGTTCCCCACTCATGGGAGGTTTTTAAGCAAAGTTAGATGACCACTTGTTGGGAATGTTGTGAAGGGTAATATTATTCATGTATGGACTGGATTTGATACACCTCTGAAGTAGTCCTTTCCAACTCTGATGTGATTTTCATCCAATTCTGGGCCTAATTCACTGTCCATTTATAGTGCCTAAGATAAATGTGTTGATAGACCTATGATAGACTCTATGGGGCCCTCTATCCTATTGTATATCACAGTATGGAAAACATGTATTTCCCACACACTTCGTCTTTTCCCATGTGGAGTGTTACACCAACTCTTTTGCGGGATTAGAGATTTCACTTAGAATGTGTTATAATGTTCTAAGATTTTATGAAAATATGAGAAGAGAACAGATGGGCTTTTACAGATGATTTTCCATAGCGGAACACATTTTTATAATCATTCAATTTACTGAGAGATGAGAAAATATAAAGTCCAATATGTTTACTGATTTGCGTACAAAACAAAGTCTTAAAGGCTCTACTTATAAAAAATACTTCCCACATGAATGTCAAAATCATACAAAACTCTATGATAGTTTTGCCAGACAAAGCTCTATAATAGTTGAGATTGTGGGGATAGCTTTGGTTAATAAGTGAAGCATTAAAAAGGGAGATGTGTTCAAATAAGAAGATCATCAATATTATAAAAGATGTCTTATGTAAATTTCAAGGCAAAAGATTCTGTATTGATGGCAAGGTTCTCTAAACACTCCTAATCACAGATAATATATTAATTAATTAGAACCCTAGAATGCCACAAACCCCCTTCGTGAAATGCATAGCAATACAAAAGACATTGGCATGATCATACACATTGGAAAAATAAAGAGAATGAAAAATATTCATTGCACAAACTATGACATATTAACTAAATGAATAATACATCAAATTAGCTCATCACTGCTTGCTTCTACAAAAGCCCATCTCTCATACTGATGTTCTCACAGAGATGCTATATATGGCTGTGAGTCAAGAACACCATGATCTAGGAAAAATTAAAATTACAAGTAATACAAAGGACAATGGGAAAAAGGCTGCAGAATTTTCACAGATAAAGATATGTTACACAAAAGTGGCATAAAGACATTATCAAGGATATAGTATAGTCAGAAAACGAGGTAGGCTGGTCACATAGTGAAACTGAAAGACAATAAATGAACAGTACGAAATGCTAAAGAAAAGGAAGACTTCCAGAGCTTTGATGGACCCTCTATTTTTTTATGTAAAACATTTCCATATTAGTCATTTTATACAAGAAAACTCAAATAAAAGGGGGAAAAATGAAAAAAAAAGAATAAAGTAAAAAATAGCATGCTTCAGTCTGTATTCAAATATCAGTTCTTTCCCTGTAGGTGGATAATATGCTTCATCATTAGTCCTTTGGGATTGTCTTGGATCACTATATTGCTGAGAATGGCTATGCCATTCACAGTTTTTCATCGAACAATATTGCTATTACTGTGTACAATGTTCTCCTGGTTCTGTTCACTTCATTATGCATCAGGTCATGTAAGTCTTTCTAGATTTTTCTGAAATCATACCGCTTGTCATTTCTTAGAGTACAATAATACTCCATTACAATCATATCCAACAGCTTGTTTAGCCATTGCCCAATTGACGGGCATCCCTTCGATTTGATGGTCCCTCTACTGAGGATTTATAGTAAAATATGGATAATAATTACACTGGACAAGTAGATGCAAAGAGTTTCTGATCTGTATCAGTGGAGGGAATATTTATACTAAAGAAATCACAGATCCACTAAATTATCAAGTCTTCAAAGAAACTCAGCTGGAAAAAAAATTACAACTACAACATGGTAGTGAACATATTCAGACATGAAATCTCTTGTATCACATGCACAATGGAACAATACTGTAAGAGCAACCTTAAGCCTGAACTAATTATAATTCTGACTTAGCAATCAAATTTTAAATTACAATCACTACTTTTACTTACTACATTAGTTGCCTGAACAATTTTAAATAACTTTAACCCAGTCCCTAATTCTCTATAACTCCAAACACAAAGCATGTAAAAGAACTCAGCCATTTAAAGATTTTGTCATAGTGTGTGTATATACATATGGATTTCTTTCTGTCTTTTTTTTTTTGGTGGTGGTGGTGGTGAATTCCAGATCTGTGTTTTCATTGGTTCATAGGGAACACCTAATACAACACCTTTTACCAATGCAAAGGTCACAGTTAGTATAGACCAGAAGCAGGACTTGAATACAGGTCTTCCTGTCTCCAAGCCTAAGGCTTTATGCCACACCACCTGCCACCCTGCTCTATTATTCATAGGATATTACTATTAGGCAACTTATACCATATTTACACGAGTTATCTGTATTTAGGGAGTGCATTCTTCAGTTCTGTTTTTGAACAAGGGTTACACGGACCATGAATGTGAGGTTCATAACTTTCAGAACTCGTATCTTAAGTGACTAATAAAGAAGATAAGAGAATGCCTACACGTATTATAAATATACACACGATAGCATTCATGTGAGGCAATGACAACTGAAACAATTATTCCATTCACCTAGGACCAAGAGATTAAAATTTAAATACATATAATACATTTAAATATATAACTTAAAGTAAATACTGACAGCACAAATCTGCACTAATTTTATTAATGACAGTATTTATTCAGTGGCCAACGAACATATGTACCTCGGTCTCCTTTACACTTGATCGCATCGTAGTACACTTGTAACATTTCATCAAATGCAGCTTTCTCTCCCCCTTGTGGTTCCGTGATGACTGTCTTCACTAGCTCAAGGTTATGCCATAAACCAGTGTGTATCCATCGTTCTTTTAATTTGTCCAATAACTAAAGAGGGAAAATGAAAGAAAAAAAAAGAAATTTAGATACCTAACTAAATAAATTGCTCTCTTCTTCCCACATTTACAATCTGAAACAACAAGAAATGGAAACTTAACTTGAGGAATTAGGCTATCAAAATGGCAAAATATAGATATGACATTTCCTCCAGTGAGTGGAGGTAAGGTAATTCCAATAATTATCGATCTTCTTGAATAGCAAATATCCCAGTAGAATATGTACTGCTTCAGGGCAAAAGCTGCCTGCTTTCAGTACCTTGTGCTTGCCACATAGTATTTAATAAATGGTCACTGAAATGAAATGATTACAGTAGGAAGTAGTACAGAGAATCAGATTTGAAATTCACTGTTACAGTTTAGTACTACTTAAAATTTGAACACTGGCCTCTTATGGGGGGGCTGCTTATTAACTTACCTCAGATCCTTTCACTGAGAGTGAATGTTTTAGTACTCTGCCTCAGCTTGGAAAACTGTCTCTGTCTCTTTCTCCCTCCCCCCTTTGTCTGTTCTTTTTTCTTTTTTTGAGGGGTGAGAGGAAAGGAGGGGAATTCTATATCACCCAAACATACAAGTTTGGTGGTTGTACCATCTCTAAACTCTTAATCCAAATACCACTTCAATACCCCTAAGCTGAAGCTCAAGACCCTTCTTAAAGTCATATATTCTATCTGAAATACTTTCATTTGCACATTAAAAATCTACATATTCCTCAAAAACAACACTGGAAAAATGGTACAAATACCCAGCACTTAAAAGTTATGTTTATATTAGGCACCCTTCTCTCCTTTTTCAGAAGCCTTGATAAAGTGAAATTAATATACTCAGTTCATTTCACATGAGTTAAATTTGAGGTTCTTAACTTGGGGTCCACGAACTTGTGTTTAAAAAATATATAGTTTGGTACTCCATTTCAATATAATTAGTTTCCTTTGTAATCCTAAGTGTTTTGTTTTATACATTTAAAAACATTTATTTTGAGAAGAGATACATAGGCTTCACTAGACTGCTGTCAAAGAAGTCCATAACACAAAATGGTTAAGAAGTCTTGTTAAATAATAAAACTATTAGGGAGCTGGAATAAGAACTAGGGTTTTGATAGTTAAAAGCACAAATAATTAATATGTCTTCATTCCTAATCACCTCTTAACCTACTACTCTCACGGAAAAAGCAATCAGATTTGAATGCTTTCAGAATTCCTATTAATTCTGGAACTTAAAAGTGATATAGCTTGATTCTATCTATTATTATTATCACTGCATTCTGTCGTTTGCACATGTGATTCAGGGATTTATCACCAGCAATCTAAAAAGACTTTGCTTCAGGGTCAGTAATGCTGCCATTGATTAAAAAAATAAAAATAAAAATATGTAGAGGAGAACGAGGGAACAGAAGTAGCTAAAGGTAACTAGGGTAAGGGTGGCAATATATCATCCACCAAAAGAAGTAATTCACATGATACATAACAGGAGAAAAACCAAAAAACTGTCTGTTAGGAGCATGTATAATGAAAGTATCACAGGTACTTTTGAATGTTTTAAACGACAAAAATTAAAATGGCTAAAATATGAACTAGAGTACAGCCTTGGAAAATAAAACAACTATTATCTGTGCTACGCAATTGATCTACCTAAAAGAATGAGTTTTGTCCTGACCTAAGTTATGACATGCATACAATTAATCTTTTCAGATTTTTAGCAAGTTACACATAATATCTTGAGGTATTCACTTCTAAAAGCTACAAATCTAACATTTGAAACTATTTGTATCTATAGGTGGTTTTTTGTTTTGTTTTAGGGTGTCTCTGAACCTTTTACTATCTGCGTAGAGAAAAAAAAGGGGAGATAAGGGTAAAAAGGGGTCATTTCTTCAAGATTTTTTATCACCCTTTCCCTGCCCCCAAAGATTTTGTCCTCATACCCACAATCTATAAAGGGAGAAGAAGAGAAAAAAAAGCAGTGACTTTTGATTCTGCTGCTTCAATTTCTCTTGCTTCAGTGACAAGACAAAGAGTTTTCTATCTTTGTTTAACATATTTTATCCTAAGGCTACTTGTCTGGGTCTCCCAACATCTCCAATACAAGAGACCTGAAAAGTTTAATTGCTGCAATCACACTTGGGTAGCACTGGCTGTGTGATAGGAGCTTCTTTTGAGAAGCACAATGTTCAAAGAGAATGGGGCAAAGGAGCAGGGAGTGCCTTTTACTTGATTTCCTGAACAGATCCTTCACATATGAGCCTTCTCCCAGAACCTGATCTCTTATTTTCATACTGTAGTTCACTGGGAAAATACCAAAGTATCCTCATAAAAAATTAAAATGAGGAAAACTTGGATAAAATTACATAGGATAAGGTGGGAGAGTTAGGAAAGCTTGTACCTGATAAACTCCTTCTATGCAACCACATATAACTCTAAAATGTAACTGGTTAGTTAACTATTGCATATTCTATACGTAACAGCATTTCTCTGGGAGGAGAGAGATTTAATGGACTGGCAGAACAGTATTTAATTAAGATGCCTAACATGGATAAATCTACCTTCAGTCTTAGAAGAATCTCATCTCTTTATATCTTTATGAGTTTTGGACTCTTCAGCAAAATTTTTTCCTTTTTTTTTTTTTTTTTTTTGTTATTGCTGCCATCCCCTCTCCCTTTTTTTTTTTTAAACCTCTTTTGAAGTCATGATTGGTCACCATATTGATCAGTTTTGTTATTTGAGAAACAGAGTAGCATAACAGATTGAGAGGTGGCCTCAAAGCCAGGAAGACCTGGGTTCAAGTCTAGCCTCTGATGCACATACTGGCCATGTGACCCTGGGCAACTCCTTTACTCTGTGCAAATCACTAAGGCTCTAAAGCTGCAGAGTAGGTGCTGCTTTGCCTTAGTAGAGAGAGTTTCCTATATCAAAGGAATCACAAAAACAACCACTATCCCTATACCCTATTATAGTCATCCTGTAAATTGTTCTCTTCAGACTTGTATTTCAAGAAAATGACTTGGACAGCTCTATGCAATAGAGGCTGGAGAGGGGAGAGACTTCAGGCACCACTCTAGGCAAAAGGTTAACAAGAGCTTGATTGACAGTAGTGGCATATGAGTAAAGAGAATGGGTTAGAAAAAGAAGTGGTCCCAGGACAGAGCCTTGGCAAACAGCCATAGCTAGGGAATATAATTTGGATGATGAATCAGAAAAAGAGACTTTAGAAGAGTGATCAGACAGGTAGAGAGAGAACCAAGAGAGCAATGCCATGAAAACTCAAAGATGAGAGCACTGAGGAGAGGATAGTTAACAGTGTTCAATGATCAGAAAAGGATGAAGAATGAGAAAAGGCCATCAGATTTGGCCATTAAAAGATCACTGGTGATTTGAAGGGAGTAGTTTCAGTTGAGTAATGAGCTCAAAAGCCATTTTATAAAAGGTTGAGGAGTGAGAGGAAAGAAAGTAGAGACAATGGGTGAAGACAATTTCTTCTAGGGGTTTGGTTGTGAAAAGGAATAGATATAAAAGATACATTAAGAGAATGGTAAGGTTTAGCAAGGTTGTTTTTTTTTTTTTCAAGATAGAGGAAACTTGGAGATATTTGTAGGCAGCAAGGAAGGATGAAAAAGATAAGGATAAACTAGTGAAAGGAGACATCGTGGGAGGACAATTTACTACAAAAGATGGGAAGGAATGGGATCAAAGGTACACGCAAAAGGATTGATCTTGGGGAGCAAAAGTGTTACCTCTCAATTGGAGGCTGCAATAAAAGAGACAAATAAGGGAAGATGCCAAATTGCATTTAAGATGTAAAGAAGAGAGCTCATGGCAAATGTCAAAAAGTCAACAAATCTTTGTAAGCATTTACTAAATGCCACATATTATGCTAAGTGTTAGTAATACAAACAGAAGCAAAAAAGATTCTCTGCCTTCAAGGAACTTATATTCTAATAGGTAAGACAACACATAAAAGGAAGGTGAAAAGTAGAGGGTGGGGTGGTCCCTAAGCTTTGGCCTTTCCTTAAAAATGGAAGTTCCAGGAGGAACTGAAAATTCAGAAGCAGGGGCAGAAGGATCTTCCAGGGTAAGAAGTTTGCTGGAAAATGGTAGACTTTAGGTTGGGGGGAAGTTAGCTCTATTTTCTTAGTAAAGTATGCGATGAGGTTCTCAGCTGGGAGGGAAGTGAGAGGTAGGAGGCTTGAGGAGATGAAAGAAGAGAAGGTTTGGAATAACCTCTGTGAGGAATAGGTCGTGAGTCAATTAGGGAGGAGTAAAAGGAATGCCTTCCTGTCATGACAGCTCACTTTAGATTAAATATATAAACATTTAATCAGCCTGTTGGTATGATTTCTTCCAGCTCTATTCAACACTACATGAATAGAAGCAGAAGAGCAGGATGGTAGGAGTAACGTAGGGTTAGATTTTGGCAAGAGGTAAGCTTTAACAGGACAGGGGCATAAGGAATTTGAAGGTTGAGATAGTGTAGAGTTGAACGGGTTAACTACAGATCGAAACTGAGAAAGGAGGAAAGTGAGGTTAGAGCAAATGGGTAATAATATAAGAGAATACTGAGGGATGAGAGGTTCTGGAGGTTCTAGTAAAGACAAGCATAGATTTGGGAGGTATAAAACTTAGAGAGAGATGGAACAATAGACCACTAGGATCTGACAAAAAAATGGAGTTTTGAATAATTGATATGGAACATTTGTGAGTGATGGCAAGATAAAGAGTGCTACTATCTCTATATATGGTTATGGGAGAGTCTAGGAATAGGTCACAGGAGCTGAGGAGATTGAAGAATTTGGAGGTTAAAGTGTTTGAGGAGAAAATCAATCATGTATACTAATATGCCCTACTAGAAGAGTAAAATTTGGACTGGAGATTCCTCTCCAGTCCTGTGATTGTGAACCAGCTACTGAATTCCTTGAAGAACTGGGAGGTTAAGGTGTTTGAGGGAACATCAACATGTATACTGATAACTCCTGGCAGAAAGACTAGAATTTGAGTAGAG